GCCACTTTCAATCTGCTAATGAAATTTTCATAGGGTTCATTGTTCCCTTGTTTGATGTTAGTAAAGGTCTTCTCGCCACCTTCGCCGTCAGGGAGAGCCCCCATGGCTTGTAAAATTAACTGTGGGAGAAGAACGAACCCCTCCTCAGGCATTCCATCTCTCTGTTGTTCCACTGTTGTAAAATTACCAGATCCATAAAGCTGATCTGGGGTAACATTTCCTGTTCCCCTCCGGATTGCCAGCTGTCTCCATTTCTGATCTAACACCAAATATTGCGCTGGAGTTAAAATCATTTTCAACAGAGCTTTCCAGTCAGCCGGAATCATTTTATTTCCATAACCAACTGCTTCTAACAACGCCTGAGTATATGGCGATCTAACACCATACTCTTTTGCTGCTTGCTTAATTTCCTTTAAAACTTTGAGAGGTAGAGGCTTCCACTCCCGCTGCGGATTCAACGCAGCGTCCACGACAATTTCTACTGGATTAAGTTGAATCTCCACTCCAAATTCTACCAAATCATCTCCTGATAATTCCCCTCTATTTGTTGCTTCTTGAATAGCTGCAGTAACTGCATCTACTTGAACTCTTAAAGGCAAACTCTTATCTTCTGACAAAGTATTTTCAGCGCCTGACAGTCCTCTGGATTTATCTAGAGGTGCTGTCGGCGGCAACAAACGTACCGCATGGTAAGACGGCAAACCTTCTTCGGGGGGTGCTAGGAGCGGTTGTTCATGAGTAGCTAATGCATCCATAACCACCCTCCAGGTTAACAAAATTGAAGAAGGGGCACGAGGTTCCTCGTGCAAAAATTTCCCTATCTTTTTCCAGGACTCTACTTTAATACTACCTCCCTCTGGATATGACTGAATATGTTTCCAAACATACTGTAATAAGTCCTCAATTTCTTTCTTTCCTACAATATGTCCTCTACTATGAACTCCAAACTTAAAACTATTCCAAGTGATTTCTCTCAATTCCCTAATGTGCCCTTTCTGAGCCTTCGAGAAATCTCCCCCCATACTCACGAAAAGAATCTATCTCCGTCCAGCGAAGAAGATGAGGGCCCAGTCGACGTCCGTGACGATGAGTATAGGATGCAGGAAATGTATAGCCTTTCAAAGCTATCACGTCGGAGCATATAGCTCTTCCAAACTATCACGTTGGGGTCACCACTTGTGGTGGTCTGGCACTTGAAATGAGACGCAGGGAACCGTCTGAGCAAATGCCAGCCCTGAGCGAACTCAGGCAGCAGTATTTATTGAAGATTCAGAAAACAAATGACCTCGACAAGATAATAGCATACAGGCATAGAAGGTCCCGCTGACGAAAGTCCTTGCTGTATACCTATAATTATCACTAATTTCCCTGTTCCTTCTAAGCCTGCAGATAACAGGATAAGACACTCCTGCGTAAAAGTATTCCTACTCCCACCAGAAATGCCTGCATATCCTTATCTTTATGGCTGTACAAAGGACTTACAGAAAATGATTAATAACATATGTTACCACACAAAGCTGCAAAGAAAAATTCTCCAGTGAGCCCCCCCCGTCTGCAACCCACCCCCATTCCCATGGCAGCGAGTTGGCTGACACCGTCTCCTGGGGATCATTGGCCCAAAGTCTCCCAGCTGGTTGCCAGGCCTAGGGTGGGATTAGAACTCCCAGCTTCCTAGTTTCTAGAACAGCACCTTGACCAACACACGTCGTAGAAGTGGTGTTTGTTTAGATACCGCTCCATATTACTACCGCCCCAACAAAGTTGCTCACGACCTTTCAGTAACGTCCTGATATTCACAAGATTAAAATGCAAATGACCTGCAGTTATGACGGGTTGCAGTGCCCCACGGTCATGCATTCAGAACGACAGAATAAGAAGAGTCGGAAGGGACCCCTTAGAGGTCTTCTAGTCCAACCACAAAACAGACCACCATTAGACCAGGATGGTACACTGTCTCCTGCTTGAGCAGTGGGCTGGACTAGAAGACCTCAAAAGGTCCCTTCCAGCAGTTGGGTTCTATGCTCCATGTGTTATAGCTCAGAGTGGATGGGCTGCCACCACGTCTTTTGAACGGAGGGGCAGCGGGTGGAAATTGAAACACAGATGCTATGTGTTAACGGTTGTGTAAACTAAAAGAGGGGAATTGTATCGCTTGCACCATCGCTTCCCACTGCCGTAAAGAAATTTCGAGGGATACCTCTGGTTAGGTCAACTTTACATAGGAAAGGGATGGAGTGAGTCGGAATAACAGAGTCAGAAGGGACCTTGGAGGTCATCTAGTGATTCCAGTCCAAGCCCCGCTCAAGCAGGAGACCCTTACAGAATACCAGACTTTGGAAGGGACCTGGGAGGTCATCTAGTCCAACCCCCAGCTCCACCAGCATTTTATAGAATCCCAGAATACCAGACTTTGGAAGGGACCTGGGAGATCATCTAGTCCAACCCCCAGCTACACCAGCATTTTATAGAATCCCAGAATAACAGACTTTGGAAGGGACCTGGGAGGTCATCTAGTCCAACCCCCAGCTCCGCCAGCATTTTATAGGATCCCAGAATAACAGACTTGGACTTGGGAGGTCATCTAGTCCAACCCCCTGCTCGAACAAGAGACTGTATACCATTTCAGACAGATGGTTGTCCTATCTCTTCTTGAAGGCCTCCAGTGTTGGAGCATTCACGATTTCTGGAGGCCAGCAGTTCCAAGGGTTAATTGTTCTCACCCTTAGCAAGTTTTTCCTGAGTTCCAGGTTTCTTCACTCCTGGATGAGTTTCCGTCCACTGCTTCCCCTTTGAGAACAGACTGACCCCTCCACCCCGCTCCTCTTCTTTGGGGCAGCTCCTCAGGGTATTGGGAGGCTGCCCCAAGGTCTCTTCCAACTCTGTCGTTCTGTAAACCAATGTTTAATTATTAAACTGGTGTTTTGATGCGGCCTGATTGTGCCACACCTTTGTTTAGTACTTCTATCGCTTGTCGTTTTATTGTAGCGTTGCATTGTTTTGTGTTAGCGCTGTGCATGTTTTCTTTGTTTTTAGGATCTGTGGTACCAAGCTGGCATGGTATATAGTAAGCTACCTGGGGACGTTCAGGGGCTGCCCAGGCTTGGACAATAGGAGGAAAAAAATCAATTTGGGCAAAAAAGAGGGGAAAAGAGAATGAGGAAGGATGGAAAAAGTAATCCGACAGCCTCGATTTAGCAAAGAGAAGCGCAACTGGGGATGAAGGAAAAGCCGCTTGAAACATCTTGGGAAAAAAGAAAAGTGAAGGTATTCCCAAAAGAACGGACAAACCTCTCCCCGCTCTTCAACGAGAGCCGCGTTTCGCAAAGAAAAGACTCGTTCCGAACCGTTTCAGCGTTTATTTCCATGGTTCAAAAAAACCCCGTTACGAATATCTACCCCATTTCCCTACGGCGTGCAACCCGCTTTCCCTAAACGCATCTCTTCTGCGTGCCGCAATATTTCCCCTTTCTGCCTTGGTCCCGAGTTCAAATTCGAATCGGCACCACGATTTAGAAAGGCTGGATCTGATCCTAGCTGGACAACCAGAGAATGACCCACATTTTCTGCAGAAATGATTTTTCTCGGGCCGGATATCTGAGGTCTGGTGCTTTCTGCACCGTCCCCTAAAGCGGTTGAGGTTGATGCCGCTGTGGGTGTTAGACGTTGTATATTACCTTAATATCTATCCTCACGCCTTTCGCCCTCCTGAATTTCATCGAGCATCCCAGCCGTTCCTCGAGAGGAAGAAAAGGGCGTTGTCTGAGCAGGCCAGGTTCCCCAACCGGTTGCCCGTGGGCCATTCAGCCCCTTCCTCTTCCTCCTTCCGTGCTGCTCTGAGACCACACTGGGACCCCCTGCAGAAGGTGCAGTGGTGTCTCTACCTTTTGAAGAGTAAGAAGAAGAGTTGGGGCTGATTTTAGGAGGTTAAAACCAAAAGTCATTCAGAGTTGAGAAATGCAGATTTAAAAATGGCACAGCCAAGAAGGGGCTTCCACTGAGAAGAAGGGGGTCGACCTTTTCCCCAAAGCACCTGAGCGCAGGCCAAGAAGCAACGGAATCCAGGAGAGAAGCAACCTGGAACTAAGGAGAAACTTCCTAACAGTGAGGACCATTAACCAGTGGAACTGTTTGCCACCAGACGTTGTGGGTTCTCCACGCCGGAGGATTTCAAGAAGAGGCTGGAGAGCGACTTGTCTCAAATGGTATCGGTTCTCCTGCAGGGGGTTGGACTAAGCTAGAGGACCTCTAAGGTCCCTTCCGCTCTATTCCCATTGATTGGGAAGCTTGGGAGAGACCATTTTCATCTGGGGTCTCTTCTCCAAAGCCCATGACCAATGGAGGGCCTCAAGTGAGATGGGGGGGTCTCCTCCCCTCTCTCTCCTTCGCCCTCTCTTCCTCCCTTTCAAAGAGCACGTTCAGATGGGTTGACCTCAATCCCCAACCCCCCGGCCCCTCCCCAAAGTCCCCCAGCCTGGAAATGTCCCAGCGCTGCTTCTCTGGGCCCCCTTCTCCCCAAAGGGAGTGTCTCCTTTTCAGGAAGGACCTGGGAGAATTCAGTGGGGGTGGGGAAACCCCTGGCCCCCTCCCAACGAGGAGAGGACCTGCCCACCAGGGCATAAAAGGAGACATCTTGGTGCCGGGAACCACATCGGCGGTGGAGCTCCGTAGCCGAAGGACCGAGGATGGAAGGGTTCTTCTGCAAGACCTTGCTGGTGGTTGCAGCTCTCGCCATCGGTGGGACCTCCTCACTGCCCCACAAACCCCTGACCTATGAGGAGGCCGTGGACCTTGCAGTGAGCACCTACAACGGCAAATCTGGGGAAGAGTCCCTGTACCGTCTCCTGGAGGCTGTTCCTCCACCCAAGTGGGTAGGTACTCCCTCCTGGGCTTCACCCTGACCCCTCTAGGGTAGAGTAGACCCTGTGGGACCCTGCCTTGAGTCACAGCTGAGAAAGAGAGACCCAGCCAGCCTCTCCTCCCAGCTTGGAGATCTTAAGGAGCCTTCATTTAGGGTCTACCTACCGTTCAGTCTGGGTCCATTGTAGATCTGAAAGCTAGAAATCTAGAATAACAGAGCTGGAACGGGACTTAAGAGGTCTTCTAGCCCAACCCCCTGGTCAAGCAGGAGATCCTGTCCTGTTCTGGACAAAAGGACATCCCATTTTTTCTTGAAGACTTCACCCATAACTTCTGAAGGCTACTCTTTTTGTAGAGTAGACCCTTCCCTCGTGGGAAGCTAGCTGAAAAAGTGGAATCAGTTCCACCTGGAAGACCTTCCTGATCCAACTAGGATCGATCAGGATGGTAGGCCTGGAATCCAGAACTTCTGGAACCTGCGTGGACTCTGCTCTGTAGCTATAGATCCCGGTGGCTCCTTGAGGGCTCCTTCCAAGGGACCGTGGGGGGACGTCCAAGCGGTCTCTAAACTAAGCCCCCGCTGGACCGTGTCTCATTTCAGGGTCCTCTTTCTGAAAGCAACCAAGAGCTGAACTTGACCATCAAGGAGACGGTGTGTCTGGTGGCCGAAGAACGGTCCTTGGAGGAATGCGACTTCCAGGACGACGGGGTGAGTGGCCGGAGGCAGGCTGGGTGGGAGGCCGGTCCACGGGGCTCCCACGGCGGAGATGGAACGGGAGTCCACCTTCGGGACGTTCTCCCTCTCGTTTCTCTTAGCCCGTGGATAGAGGAGGGGCCGGTAACAGAGCGAGAGTTGGAAGGGACCTGGGAGGCCTTCCAGTCTGACCCCTGCTTAAACCCTTTTCTCCTTCCCCTTCCCTTTCTCCTCCTCTTCCTCTCCTCCTCTCCCTCCTCCTCTCCCTCTGCCAAATAACAGAGTTGGAAGAGGCCTTGGAGGTCTTCTAGTCTGAACCCCCCCCCGCCCCCCCCCCCCGCCCCCCCTCCTCCTCTCCTCCTCCAAGTAACAGTGCTAAAGGGGACCTTGGAGGTCTTCTAGTCCGACCTCAAGCAGGAACCCTTTCTCTCCTTTCCCTTCCCTTCCCTTCCCCCTCCTCCTCTGCTACATAGCAGAGTTGGTAGGGACCTCAGAGGTCTTCTAGTCTGACCCTTGCTCAAGCGGGAAACCCTTTTCCCCTTCCCCTCGTCTTCCTCTCCTCCTCCTCCTCCTCCTCCTCCTCCTCCTCCTCCTCTGCTACATAGCTTGGAGTCGGAGCCGTTCTAGTCCCCCCCACGGCCTGAGCAGGAAATGCAAACGGCTCTCCAGCCCCTTCTTAAAAACCCCCCACTTTCCTCGGACGGAGGGGAGGCATCCGGGCATTATTAGGGACCGAGACGTTGACAAGCCCAAGCCGGCTCCCCCCTTAGAGGTTTCCACAGGGTGCCTTAAATATAATCCACCTAGTTGCACACCCGTCCCCAAAAAGGGACCGAGGACTGTTTTTCACCCTTGACGACCATCATAGCCTCCCTGAAAGTCACCTGATCAAAATCCAGTCTCTTGGCCACTGACTCGTATTTATGACGGTTGTGGCGTCCTGGGGGGGGGTGTCACGTGATCCCCTTTTGTAATGGGGTAAGCAAATAGAGGAGCCCGATTCACTTAACGGCTGTGTTATAAACTGAACAAGTGCAGTGGTTCACTTAACAACGGTGGCAAGGAACATCGTAAAACGGCAATTTTGCTTGGGCAATTTTGGGATGAATTGTGGTCATAAGTTGAGGAACAGCGGTGCTTATGCCTGTTGCAGCCTCCCCATGGTCACGTGATCAAAATTCAGACCCTTGGCCACTGACTCAGACTTATGACGGTTTCAACATCCCAGGGTCATGTGATTTCGCTCTTTTGCGGACTTCTGACAAACCAGAAACCAGGGTCACTGAATAACCATGTACCTCCCATAACAACTGCAGGGATTCGCTTAACATGGTCGTAAAAGGGAGCAACGCTTTCTTAACCGGGGTCTTGCTTAGCAGCGAGAAAAGTCAGCCTTGAACCTGGTCAGACGTCGTGGGCTACCTGTACCTATGGAGACCTGGAGGCCAAACCATCTTAGCTTCCCTTAGGTCACAGAATCCTAGAATGACCGAGTTGGAAAGGACCTTGAAGGTCATCTAGTCCAACCCCATGCTCGAGAAGGACCGTCCTAGTAGGAGACGGTTGGAGCGAGGTCAGGGGCGAATCCGAGACTCCTCTTTGGGAAGGGAGATTGTGGTCTCCGTGGAACGAGATCTGGGCGCCTTCGTGGTTCTCACCGGGGGCTTCCGCTCCTCCACAGGCCGTCATGGGATGCACAGGCTACTTTTTCTTTGGCGAGTCGCCCCCAGTGCTGGTTCTCACCTGCGAGCCTCTCGGTGAAGACGAGGAGCAGAACCAGGAGGAGGAGGAGGAGGAGGAGAAGGAGGAAGACGAGAAGGTAAGAAGACGCCCTGTGGCTGGGGGTTTCCAGACCTAGAAGGACAGTTGAACCAGGGGTGGGATTCTGCCGGTTTGGACCAGTTCAAGAGAACCGGATGTTAAGTTTTCACCTGGTTTACCAAAGTGGTATTTGAACCAACCGACCCGCTGGCTCCACCCACCCTCCCCGCCCCTCCCAGGAGTCCCCAGGTGGCCCATTTCGATGCGGGTAAGTGCAGGTCCGCATGGAGGCTCTGGGAGGGGGGGAAACGGGCCTTCTGGGAGTCCGGAAACGGGCCTGTTCCCTGCTTCCGGGGGGTCTCCAGAGCCCGGGGGAGGCTGTTTTCGCCCTCCCAGAGGCCTGAGGGAAGCCTCCGGACTCTGGGAAAGGCCAAAAAATGGCCCTCCCGGAAGTCCCGGTAGGCCACGCCCAGCATGGCCACGCCCACCCAGCAACCGGGCAGCAAACCGGTTGCTGGGATTTTGGAATCCCGCCCCTGGGTTGAACCATTTGCCAAATGGAGGAGACCCCACCTCCCTCGAGGTCATCCATCGGGCCCCTGTTTTGGAAGAGGAGATTGGCGTGGTATCTACCAAGCTTTGGTTCCACCTGAACCATCAACTAGCCCAGAGTTGAGACAAGCCAGAAAGAGAATGAAGTCATTTCTGGAAACAACAGGAGGGAATATTTGTAGCTCAGGGTTGAAGTGTGGGGGTGCCTGGGGGTCCCCGAGTTGGGTGGTTTTTGTGGGGACGTTTCATAAACCCCCTTCCTGCAGCCCCCCACTTCTGGGCAATTCCATTTTTAATCTGCATTTCTCAAATCGAGTATCCTTTGTTTTCAAACTCCAAAAACCGCATCCGATACACAGGTAGTCTTAGACTTACAATAATCAGGTGTGATTTTTTGCTTAGTGGCCATCCTCTTGACTTACAGCAGTTCTTTTAGTGACCAGTTACAACAGCCCTGAAAAAAAAAAGATTTATGTCCATATTGCAGCTCGTCCTCAACTTACAACAGTTCGTTTAGCGACCATTCAAAGTTGCAACGGCATTAATAAAAAGCGACTTAGGTCCCTTTTTCACACTTAACGACCATTGCAGAGCCTCAGGGTCATGTGAGTTACTTTCAGATGCTTGGCAGCCGACTCGTATTTATGACGGTCACAGTGTCCCGGGGTCAGGTGATCTGTTTTTATGACCTCCTGACGAGCCAAGTCAATGGGGAAACCCGGACTCACTTAACAGCCGGGTGACCAATTTAACAACTCCAGTGATTCGCTTAACGACAAAGGCAAGAAAGGTTGTAAAATGGGGCAAAGCTCACTCAACAAACAGAAATTTTGGGCTCGGTTTTAGTTGTAAGTTGGGGGCTACACGTAAAGCCTTCTGCTTTTAACTCTTAAATTAAGAATTAAATTCTTATATTAAGAATTAAATTAAGAATTAAAACCTTCTGCTTTTAATTCTTAAATTACGAATTAAACTCTGCCCGCTGCCCAGAAGTGGGGAGAACTTGCAAAGGGGGTAAAACAGACAGACGTACAACCGCACCCCCATTGTGTTGGATAGAAATGCCACAACCGCACCCTTTGTCAGGGTCCCAGAGCAGCAGGGAAGCAGAAAGAGGAAGGGGCTGCTGGATGGCCTCTGGGGGCTTCTCAACCTCCCCCCCCCCACCATCCTTCTCTTCCTCCCCCGGATCAGCCCAGGAGGGTCAAGAGATTCAAGAAATTCTTCAGGAAGCTGAAGAAGAGCGTGAAGAAACGTGTCAAGAAATTCTTCAAGAAGCCAAGGGTCATCGGGGTCTCCATCCCCTTCTAAGAGAGGGGCTCGGGAGGACCTCAGCCTCCGCACTCCGATCCCAGGAAAACCGGCAGAGAAAATGAGGCCGGCTGCTCCAGTCCGTCAAATCATTTCCGAATGGGATGCTCTGCCAATCAATCCATGAATAAATAAATATATACTCGCATGTGGTTGCTACTTTTGTGCTATCCTGCTTTTATGTTGAAAAGACTAACAGAATAAGAGAGTTGGAAGGGGCCTCAATGGCTTTCTAGTCTAACCTCCTGCTCAAACAGGGGGCCTTCACGGAATCATAGAGTAATAAAGTGGGGAGGGACCTTGGAGATCATCTAGTCCAACCCCCTGCTCATGCAGGAAACCCCTCTGTCATTTCAATTTTATGTCTGTCTGTCTGTCTACCTCTATCTATCTATCTATCTATCTATCTATCTATCTATCTATCTATCTATCTATCTATCATCTTTCTATCTATCTATCCACACACACACACACGCCTGTAATACATATATGCGGGAAACAGGCGTTCCTTCCTTGGCAGATCAACCAGGATTTTGAGAGTTGTCCTCTAGACCAGTGGTAGCTAACCTTTTAGGGCTCTTGTGCCAAAAATTGCACACACGCACACGTGCGCTAACATGCCAGCACCCAGGAGGCAATGTATGCCCCCAATGCCCCCTGCACATGTGCGCACGATCCCTCCGCCATCCCCTTACCTGCACTGCCCATGCGCGCACCTCCCAGCTGATATTGGGCCCGTTTGAGCCTTTTTCGGCCTCCCAGAGGCTCGAGGGAAGCCTCTACAGCCTTTGGAGGGCGAAAAACGGGCCCGGTTTGTCACTTCCGCTATTTCCAGGAATACAGGAAGTGGTGAAAAGGGCCTGTTTTTTGGCCACCAAAGGCTGCAGAGGCTTCCCTCAAGCCTCTGGGAGGCCGAAAAAGGCCTCAAATGGGCCCAAAATCAACTGGGAAGGCCGCGCATGCGCAATGAGGTAAGTTTGGCTGGTGCTCGCATGCCCGCACAAATGGCCCTGAAAACAACCCAGAAAATCGACATTGCTTGAGAAGTCAGTGAGTGAATCCACATTCAACTATTAAAAATAAAGTAAACAAACCCAGAATAGGCCTTCACACTTCCTCCTTTTTATGACTTTAATAGCGGGCCAACCTTTCGAAGGCAACTGGCGAGGGAGGCTTATTTCTTGGCCGGTTGTTGGCTGAGATCGTTTCTATGGCCACCCATCCCACAAACGGTCCCCGACTTACGACCACAACGGAGCCGGATATTCATGTTGCTAAGGGAGGCATTTGTCATGCTTTAACCTGTCTCTGTAAGAATGGTCTTGAAGAAGGCAGCCTCTTCCGTCCTCTTCCACTGTGGCTTTCTCTTCCTCCTCCCGACAAGCAGCTGGTTTTGCTACCAAAGCTGGTAATTTGGAGGCTTTCCTCCCCATTTTCTTTTTGGAATATATATTTTATTGCTTAAAGAGGAATATACGGAATACTGTGTAATTGGGCATGCCATTCCAATTGCCACCAAACAGAAGTAAAAACAAAATGACACGTGCAAATTTATATATACAAATTTTTGTACAAAAATTTCTGACCGTCATATAACATGTCAACTCCTCTTATCGTTCTAATACTTGCATTCTCCTGTCAATAATACAAACGTTGTCTCTTTCCAGGACCCCCTCAGTTGATTATGTTGGGTATAACATTGATACACCAACTAAGTTTGGGTGAATAAATATATAAAACCAAGGTTTGGGTGTTTGTAACTTGTAGCTTTAAGCACCAAACTGCTTGTAATTAACTAATTAAGGGTGCGGTTACAAACGGCAATAAAAGGCAGTAAGAGAAACGTAACTTGCTCTCTGCTTGTTATCAGCTTGCTACTGTTTAGTTTGCTACTGTTTGCTACAACTGTTTGAATACCTGAACGAAAGGACTATTTCATTGATGTGCTGATATCCTGTGAATACTCAGCGTTGTCTTCAAAAGGAAAGGTATCAGAGGAGAAGATATCTTTACAAGCAGATAAGGATATAGAACTGACTAGTGAATGGACTAAGTTACTGAATGGATATATTTGTGAATGACATATGGACTGATTGACAATGTTTAAACTCTAATTGGATTAAACAACTATTTAAACTACAAAAACAGTGTTTGTCATCAGTGTGTGTAAACTCTAGGGCCCTTCCTCTCTCATTTGGCTGCCTGGCTTGACTGCTGCTGCACATTCTGTTTGGGGGTTTGCCCCCAATCACTAACAGATTCTTTCGCCTTCCAACTTCTCCCTCCTGTTTCTGACCATTGATAAAACCTATTCCATGTGAAATTGTATTCTGTATCTGCTTTATCTATTATTTTTAGTGTCCTTCTGTGGATTTCCGCACAGTCTAGTATCTTCCTTATCGTCTCATTCTCTAACGGGGTGTTTTCGTTCTCCCACTCCTGCGCGTATCCAATTCTTGCTGCAGCCAAAACATGTAATATGAAATAAATTCTGGGATGGGCTGCCGGGTGGGGTTCGCAGCGGTTCGGGAGAGCCCCCAGCTAAGATTCTGTGCAATTTGGAGAATGCCGCTCCTGGCTGGCCCCGCCCACCCCACTCCTCCCCAGAGTCCCCACACGACCCATTTGGGATGCAGGTAAGTGCAGGGTGTGGGTAGATGCCCAGGGAGGGTGAAAAACGGGGCTCCCGGATGTTCAGGAAGGCCAGAAATGGGCCCATTTCTGGCTTCCAGGGAGCCTCCGGAGTCTGGGAGGCCATTTTGCCCCTCCCCCCCGCAGAGGCTCAGGGAAAGCCTCCAGAGTCCGGGGAGGCTGAAAACAACACCACCACCCCGCTATGGTGCAGGAGGCCGACTAGGCCACGCCCACCATGGCCACGCCCACCCAGCAGCCGGGCAGAGAACCCGTTGCTAAAATGTTTGAATATATTGATCCTTTGTCATAACCCTCTGATGTGATACCTAGTAAAAACAATTCTGGTTTGAAATCTAGATGGTGTTTGGTCATTTTTTCTAGCCAC